GTGTTGCACCCTGTTTCTCATTCGCTGGCTTTACTGGTCTATCTGTTGACAGAGTCCTTTTAGCCACGGTCATCCCTACACTTCTGGAACCTAGGAAGCCGACTTCTAACAAGGGCCATTTTTTTTGTCTCTCACTCTCTAGTGAAAGCCTTTGTGTTGGGGGGGTCGCTCGCATCTCCCCCCTTCCCCCCTGTACACACTCCACTGTCTCTGTGGGACCTAAATGTAGTCCTGTTAACATTGCAGAAACTGTCCTTTGAACCTGTCAGAGATATATCCCTGTTAAAACCAGATATTGAAATATGTATGTGTGAACCTTAAATGATGATTGATTTTCTATATTTTAATCTATCCAAGTTTGGAGATTCAGTTTTTTACTGTACTGCTGATTTTGAGTTTACAATTGGTAATCAATCAGTAAGCCTGACAGGCAGACCTAAGTATAGTTGAAACAGTTGTTGGGAATGCCCAAAGAAGACTTGGCCTTTAAAATGAGTTTGAAGAATAAACCACATTACTCAGGACATAGACTATGATGCCCAAAATGGGATAGAAGGAGAACACATGACTCAGCTACTAAGAGTATGGCACTCCCTTATGCTAATCAGAAAGACTTTTAAGGTAAACATCACATAGGTTATTTTAAAGTAAAAGCATGGATAAAAGGATGAGGGATGATCCTTCAAGGCACACACACTCACACTCACACACTCATTCACACCACACACACACACGGACACGCCCACACTCACGTTGAATAGACAGACACCTGTTAGATCATTTTTACTTACTAAAGACACGTTTCTTAAGCATCTTATAGATTTCTGCTGTAAGATATACCATATCCTGTAATCATTTGCAACTTTTAAATTAAACACATTCTGAACTTTATACAACAACGGAAACAATCATCTATTATTGAACTTTTCCACCCTATGCTTCGAGAAAAAGAATATGACATAAAAAAATCATATTTCGTGTCATTTTCTTACAATCCCTCTAACCCGCTGCGCTTGCAAGGTGGCCTTCCTTATCACCTGCACGTCTGCATGTGTGTTTCTAACTTGGCATCCTTGACTTGTAGAGATCCCTTTTTTGGTTATCCACAAGGAGAAGGTAGTGCTGAGACCTAGGACCTCCTTTCTGCCTAAGGTGATCCCTTTCACCCTAACCAGAGCACTGTCCTACCATCCTTTATGTCCCTCTCCTAAACTGCCTAAAGAAATTTCTCTCCACTGTTTGGACATGCTTCGGGCCATTCGTCGTGTTTACCTCGCTGCTGTGGCTTCTTGTTCCACTAGAGCTAGGTGAGTTTGACAAGCTATCACAGGCCTATGCATTGAAGTGTAAAGTTTCTCATTTCTAGAAATGGAGGACCCCTGCTGTCTCCAGAAAGAGTACCTGTTATGTGAATTGGCGATCACATAGGGGATTTCTTAGTCCCCTAATGTGATGGCAAAAAAGTTTAAAAAAATGTTTAAAGCATAAAGAAACTAAAATGAAAAAAAAGTAAAATAAACATTTTTTAAAGTGCCCCATGCACATGTAAACATGTGTTGGGTGCGCCTATGTGCAAAAACGGCGATTACGCCGCACATGTTACATATCGCTGCGAACGTCGGAATGAGAGCAATAATTTTAGGGCCATTAATTACTGATAACACTAAACTGATGAGCGGTAAAAACTTTTAAAGCGTCGCCTATGGCCAATTTTGGGTGTGGTGGTTTTCTGCGATTTTTGCGGGCACGCGCAATGGTAAAGCTTGACATGTTTGGTGTCAATTTACCCGACCTCGAGCAAAACAAATGACAAACGCACTCAACAATTTGTTACCAGTTATACAGTAAGGTGCACACGAAATGGGCTTTGAACAGTAAAACAGTAGAAAAGCATCATGGCACACTCACAAATCAGCATGTAAAACAACTTGTCTCACCACTAAGGTCAATAACAGAGGTTTGGATACACGTCTTCTGCAGAAAATGTGAAAGCCGCACAGCCGCGCCAAGGCACCTCTTAGGACCGCACTATAAGAAGTGCCTTGGCGCGGCTGTGTGGCTTTCACATTTTCTGCAGAAGACGTGTATCCAAACCTCTGTTATTGACCTTAGTGGTGAGACAAGTTGTTTTACATGCTGGTTTGTGAGTGTGCCATGATGC